CGTGTGTGTGTGTGTGTGTGTGTGTGTGTGTGTGTGTTAGCAAGCCATGGTTCCATCCACGTGCACATAGCTGCTTACCACCACACTCCATACTCGACACCACAGCTACCCATTCCACCACCGCGAGCCATGCACCAATACTGACGTGCGAGAGGTGGAGCGGAGGCCATCCAGTTCCTGCAGGAGGGAGGACTGCTTGCCTTGAAGGTCGTCCACGGTCTCGCGCAGCTCTACAATGGCCGCCTTCCCAGTGAACGGAAGAGAGAAGAACGGAAGAAAGAACGACACCAGAGAAGAAGAAGAAGAAGAAGAAGAAGAAGAAGAAGAAGAAGAAGAAGAAGAAGAAGAAGAAGAAGAAGAAGAAGAAGAAGAAGAAGAAGAAGAAGAAGAAAGAGGAGGAGTAGGAGGAGTAGGATCATGACGTGTTGTGATTGTATGGTGTGGGTGTGTACGCCATGTTGGGGTGGAGGCGGAGGAAGAGAACGAAGAGCAGTGCGATGACGACATTGAAGAAGGCGAGTCAGGCAAAGGAGAGACAGAGGAAGAAGAACAAGGGGAGGAAGGGCAGCGTGTGTATGAAGGCGAATGCGATGGCAAGCACAATGATTTGAGCCAACGCCACCACAGTTCAACACCACGCGTCTGTGCGACACGTGTTGTTGTGCATGCATGGATTAACATGCGGCTGTGTGTGAACAGGTGTATGTGTGTACGTGTGTACATGCGTGTGCATGCGTGTTTGCGTGTACATGTCTTCATGCTCGCGTGTACATGTGCATGTGCTCATGTGTGTGGATTGTGCTCGTGCCGTTGTTGGCATGGCTTGGGTTGACAAGTTCGTAGCGGCAACGAAAAGAAGAAGATACAGTCTCAACATGCGTACCTGCTTCTGATCAACATCGGACTTGAGCTCAGTGCATGTTGTGGCGAGCTGCTCGTTCTCCGCCTTCAGTGTATCCTTTTCCTGCTCGAACGCTTGCCTGCATGGTCGAATAGGGTGTGATGATAACACAAGCCGTAAAAACGTGCGTGAGCAATCATGATCGAACGAATAAAATCGGCGCATGTGCGCAAACCGTGTCATGCACATACGCGCACGAACATACATGACACACGACACTCACACATACCCCTTCACACACACACACACACACACACGCACACGCACACACACACACACACACAAGAGATAACGTAGGAGCGATTGTTCGAGCCAAGAGGTCGTGCCGCTGTTATTGTAATCATCATCATCATCATCATCATCATCATCATCATCATCATCATCATCATCATCATCATCATCATTGTAGAAGTCTTTGTCGCTGGCGTCCTGGCTGGTCTGCACCGGCCGTTACGTCTGTAAACGGGTTGCTCGACTGCGAAGTGAGTGCTGGTTTCTGCGCAGCTCTTCAATGCGCGCCTCGACCTTGACCAGGGTTTCTCGCGGTCATAATGCGAGCCCAAACCCGAGCTAGCCTGGAGGTCTCTAGTGTGTAGGTGCAAGACGGTGCTTACGTTAGGGTCTCGCAAAGCACTATTGGACTTGCATGTGCAAACACACACAGAACACCACACGCACACGTGCACACGTGCACACACATGTATACGTGCACATAGCCAGACACACACACACACGTACACGTGCACACACGCGCGTACATACACGTGCACAAACGCACGGACACACGTATACATACACACATGTGCATGTACATGCACACACACACACACATACACGCGTACACACGTATCCACGCACACACACACATGTACTCACATACACACACGTGTACATACGCACGCACACACGAATTCATCCACACGCACACCCGCGCGCACGTGTGCGCGCAGTTCAAACACAAGCTCACAGCTAAACTCACGAACGAATGAAGCCAGTCTGTCAAACTCCGCATGCCGCTTGACTCGAGTTCTGCCTTGAGCTTGCGCTGCGTACTCAGCCATCTGGGGACCCGACATTGTCAGGCCGTAGCAGGCACTGGCTTGTTGTGCCTGAGCAGCCAAGTCTCCTGCAAGAAGAGATGCAGTGCAGTGCAGAGAATGCGGCAACAGTGAGGTAACGAGGGCAACAACGCGAGAGACGAACTCACACGCATGGGTGACTGCTTGAGGAGCACCTTCATGGTTCGATCGAAGCGGGCAAGTGTCTGTGGACGAACGAACACGGCGGCGCCCAAGCTCATGTTCACTGTCCTGTGCGAGCTATCAAGTGGGGTGATGCCTCAGTGATTTGGGGGGGGGGGGTTCATCAAAACTTTATGGTGTCGCCTGCCCCGGCTGGGCCGGGCTTCGAACGCAGACGACACGGTGCCGACCAGCAGGCGAAGAAGCAAAGAAAGAAAGCGAGACGAGCGGGGAGGAGCATGCAATAAAAAAAAACCGATGGGGGAAGAGACACTCGGTGAAGCCAACCGAGCCAGGCAAAGGGACACGGGGATTGGTGTGATAAATAAAACGAAACCACTCGGGCGGAGAGCAGGCAAGGCAGCTTTGAGTGAGGGGAGAGAGAGGGGCCCTCAGGCCCGGAGAAAGGCCACTGGGTCTAGACTCAGTGGGAGGACGCCTGCGCAGGTTGGGAGGCCGCTTCCTCATTGCGGTTTCCGTTGGTCTCCACCTGGCTGGTGGTGTCGATGGGGCAGCGCGTGGTGGTCGGTTGCGTCGCTGCTCTCCGTGGGCCCTGAATCTGTGCGGTAGTGGCCCTTGACCGCTCGTTGCCCGTGCCGTGGCGCGGGTCGGGGTTGCCCCCGGTGTTGTTGTTGTTGTTGTTGTTGTTGTTGTTGTTGTTGTTGTTGTTGTTGTTGTTGTTGTTGTTGTTGTTGTTGTTGCTGCTGCTGCCGATGGTGGTGGCGGTAGTGGTGGTGGTGGTAGTGGGCGTGGTGTCGTCGGAGGTGTTGTTGGTGGTAGTGGTGTTGTTAGAGGTGTTGTTGGTGGCGTGAGTGTTGTTGGTGATGTTGTTGGTAGTGGTGATGGCCCTGCGTCCGCGGCCGCGGCGGTTGGCGCGTTGTCCCGCTGCTGCCTGTGCAAACGTTGGGGTGTGCCGGTTGTCGCGGCCGTCGTCGTCCGCCGGGTCGATTTGGTGGAGATGGTGTTTCGACTTGCCGGCGCACCTTTCGTTGGCGTGAATCAGCTGTCGCATCTGATACTGCTTTGCAATGTCTTCGTTTGATTTTCGACAACCCACGCAAACAACCAGCCAAGATGTTAGGCACACCTCTTCACGACCAGCTGCAGCAGCCTGACTCCAGCACTGAGTCCGCCCAGACCCACACCGCTACCACCGTCGACGACACCACCATCGACACCACCATCGCCTACGACAACACCGTCGACACCACCACCGCCCACAGCACCACCGTCGACACCACCACCGCCCACAGCACCACCGTCCACGACACAGCCATCGCCCACAACACCGTCGACGACACCACCATCGCCCACAACACCGTCGACGACACCACCATCGCCCACGACAACGCCGTCGACACCACCACCGCCCACAGCACCACCGTCGACGACACAACCATCGCCCACAACACCGTCGACGACACCACCGTCGACACCACCATCGCCCACAACAACACCGTCGACGACACAACCATCGCCCACAGCACCACCGTCGACGACACCACCATCGCCCACAACAACACCGTTGACGACACAACCGTCGACGACACCACCATCGCCCACAGCACCACCGTCGACGACACCACCATCGCCCACAGCACCACCGTCGACGACACCACCATCGCCCACAACAACACCGTCGACGAAACCCCCGCCCACAACACCACCGTCGACGAAACCCCCGCCCACAGCACCACCGTCGACGACACCACCGTCGACGACACCACCGTCGACGACACCACCACCGCGCACAACACCACCACCGCCCACGACACCAGCATGACCACCCCTGCAATTGTGGAAGTGGCGGACGTTACTGAAGCGACACGTGCCGTGGCCGCCTTCCACAACTCTCGCGTGTGCGGCAGCATTTTTGTCAACGGCGCGGCAAAGGTGACCGGAGAAGGCATTGCCACGAGCTTGAGCGACCGCCTTTGTCATGCACCCATCATCGACGGCCCATTTGAGGTGGACGCGGCCGCCTTCAACCACCCTGACTTGGGCCAACGGTACGAAGACGGACAACCCGAAGCAGCAACACACCAAAGCGTCGAGTGTGACGACCGCAGAAGTGTGGTGCGCATGTTCAAACTCAAAGGCACGCATGGGCGGTTCAGGCTGGACATTGTGCGCACAACGGCAGACGTGCACTTGATGCTCCAGTACACCCGATCGAAGCGGAGCGGGGCGACATCGAAGCCTGTGTCAGATGCAGAGCTGCACATGGGCCTGGCAAGCATCGCCCCCGCCATGGTGTTGCAAACACCTCCATCCGAGCCAATGGCGGACCGGGTTTCGACCACATCGGCCCTGCACCGCCACCCACCTGAAAGCAACGTCAGAGAGTACAAGACTGTGCAGCTCGACGAACCCACACCAGCGGGAATTCAGCGCAAGGTCCTGGAGCATGCACGCAACTACATGGCAGAGATGTACGCCTTGGATGCTTCACGCGCGCCAAGGCGTGCATACATTGGCATCGGCGTTGCAGACAACGGCAGCGTGGTGGGAATCCCCGTGAACCCGTCCCCAAAGGACGCTGACTTGGAGACCCTGGCATCAAACATCTCACAGCAACTGCACGGCTACCTGAAAAGGCTGTTTCCAGCACCCCAGCTTGACGTGATTGTGCGAGTGAAGAGGGTAGTGGCACCGAAAATTGAAGAGCTGTGGCAAGCCGAAGGCAACACGGTGTACGTGCTTTCGGAAGACGACTTTAGGCGCATGGCCAAGGCGACTGGACAGGACAAAATGGTGCTGTTCAGAGGGGCGGTGATGACTGAGCGGCAACAAGCTACAGGACGGGGTGGTGCTGGCCACCGAAAGTGGTGCGCGCTGGCGAGCACAGCCAAAGGGGTGTTCGAGGTTCGTGATGAAAAGTTGCGTGGGTGGCGGATCAAGAAGCCTGGGAAGGAGGTGGAAGTGCCGCTGTGCGTGCGCGAGTATGACGACCTTTGCATGGGAGAGCCGTTGATTCTAGTTGAAGTGGAATTCGATGCAAAGCGCGCCTGTGTATCTGGGCATCCGACCGTCTTATGGAACATGGACAAGTTTGACTGCCCCATATGGGACGGCAAACATGTTGTGGCCCTGACCCCCTTCGCGGCGTGGGCGTTTCATCGCCATCGAGTAACACCACATCTCCTGTTCAGGCCACCCAGCATCGGCGCGCACCCCATGCCGGTTGTTGTGGACGCGCGCAGCGCAAGGTTCCCTGATTGGATGCAAGTGTTCGACGTGAATGCTGTGGGCAACATCCCATGGCAAGGACCGAGCGGTGTCATCATGGCGTTGGGGCTGGAAACCGAAAGTGTGCAGGCGCTGTGTCGCAGTCTACCCGACATGGAGGTGTGGGTGAGCGTTGTTGACACAGAGCCAGGGCGTCTGGAGGCCGCGCTGCAGATGTTCCGGCGATACCTCTCGGACACCCCGCACCACTGCGTGAGAGACGTGAGGCTCTTGCCATCCTTGGCGTCGTTGCTTGAAGCGCAGCCACCTTCTTCTGTGGTGCGTGAAGCCACTTGCACGACGCCGGCACCCACAACTCCCATCAGTCACTGCATGGTTGTGCCACACCAGAGTCAGCTTCTCGGCCCACACCCCGCCACAAGCGAGGGTCATGCGTGTGTGCAGCGGTTTCTGGCAGGGAGACGAGATGTACCGGCCACATCGGCAGCAGCAGAGGCCGTCGACGGCTCCGAGAGTGACGGCGGTGAGGTTGATGGTGTCAACGAGGCGCAGTTGCCGTGGAGCTTGGTTGACACTGCCGCGGTGGATCGGTTGCAGGATGAGTCGTTACTGTCTCAACTGGACGCGATTTTTGATGAGCAACAGCATGCAGGCTCACCGAGTCACTTTGTGTACGGGAAGGCGCCGTTTCAAGGTATCGGCGTGACCACGAGCCTTCAGCGGGTGGCGCGGGCATTTGTTGAGAGGAGGCGACACGACGTCTGCGTTTGGGTGCCACGCGCATGCGACCTTCGGCAAGTGGGCCCACAGCTACAAAACTTGCTCTCGCAATATGTGACGACCACGACGCGGCGTGTCCTCGTGCTCGCCGACCAAGACATTAGCCGCGCAATTTCAGACATTGATCGCTGTGTGAGGTCGTGCATGGCGAGGAAAGGGGCTTTGTTCGTGTTGTTCTACGTGAAGTTGTGCCAGCGGTACGTCGCGTCCCGTGATGGTGCCTCTGAGTTTATGTTCTGTCCGTTCTTGATCGACGAAGAGAAGCCGCGCTTCATCAAGCACTACGCATCGCACTGCCCCCAGGCCGAGCAGCGCGTGCGGGAGCTGGAGAACACACCAGACCATCTGCCTGTCACATTGCTCAGTGCAGCCGTGTCACTGGGGAACTGCTGCGCCGCCTTTCGCATGCTTAAGAGCTGTTTTGCCGCCGTCCCGGAAGACACCCAATCTCGCCTACAGCGGCTTGCGCTACTTGAGGTGATGGCTGGATGTGACATCAGCGACATTTGGCTTCCTGGCACGGGCGTGGAGCTACCAATGTGGAAGTGGCTCGTACGCCGCAATGATGGCACTGGTGGGCGGGAACGGCTGACGTCGATGCTGTGGGCGTTCCCGTTGCTGAGATCGCGCGGCATCGTTCTCTCTGCTCTGCAAGAGGGTGCGTATGCTTCCACCGACGTGCGCAGGGCTGTCGCTCAGAAGATCGTCCGCTGTATGAAGGCGGCGTTCCGTGATGTCTGCGAGGCCGGGTTGAGTTTAAAGCCCTGGCTGGTGCTACTGACGGCTGATGAGAGTGGGGGTGACGGCCTGTGCCAGATGCCAAAATGGATCCAGATGACGTACGAGCGTGGCAACAAGGGCGTGTTCGACTCTGTGTACGGCGTACTGGACTCGCTTGACGACGACATGGAGGAGTCAGGCTACACAGATTCCAGGGGACAGGTTGCCATTCTCAAAACTCAGCTGCGACTGATTTTCACGCACCCACGGCCAGCCACCAGCTGGTCTACAATGGCAAGCAGTGGGAGCAGCGGGAACCCCGAGACTGAGTGGGCGGCGATCCTACAGCCTTTGGAAGCGTTCGTCGAGACCAATGATCACTCGAGGGCGGAGCGGCACAAGCTGGGCACGATACAGGCACAGGCAGCCAGTGAGCTAGCACGTGCTTTTCCAGCCCAGGCAGTCACGCTTGCAAAACAGTGTGTTGCAAACTTGCGGCGCTGTGTGCAGCAGCACCCTACTCGGCCGCTGAAGCCAGGCCTTTCCCAGCAGTACCTTTTGCCGGGATTGCACAGAGCCAGCAAGCACCTGCAGCGCGCGAGCAGTGTCATGAGAGACGTGCAATGCAAGCGACGCCTCGAGTCGTCCATCCAGGATCTTGATGGCCTGGAATCCCAGCTGGGCGGACCCTCTGCAGACCGCAGCCATGCGCCTTCCAACACTGAGGCCGAAGCAAACCGAGGTGATCGTCGACTGCCGAGGACTGAATCGGACCCAGAACCACGTGCACGAGCAACCTTACGTCGCGCGCGAGGTATGCAGCATTTCGTGCACAAGGCCTTGCAGCCATGGGAAGGGCAGCCCAGCATTGACCAGCTGTTGCACGAGGCTGAGCTTGCGTTGCCACTGAGCTGAGCACTGCGTTGAGTGTGCTGCACAAGTACTACGCCTTGTACACACTTTTCCTAACCTCCAACCATCACTATTGTCTATTGTAACCACTTTGCCCCTGCTGGCTTTTGTTCCCTTGCACAGCCACAATCGATTTCACGAATGAAAGAATGAACTGCTGAGACACATGAGACATTCTACAATCATGCGCACTGGAATAGCGAGGGAGACTGCTCACCCCCCCCCCGTGTGTGTGTGTGTGTGTGTGTGTGTGTGTGTGTGTGTGTGTGTGTGTGTGTGTGTGTGTGTGTGTGTGTGTGTGTGTGTGTGTGTGTGTGTGTGTGTGTGTGTGTGTGTGTGTGTGTGTGTGTGTGTGTGTGTGTGTGTGTGGGTGTGTGTGTGTGTGTGCTGCTCTCTGCGTTGTGTGTTGTTGTATGTGTTGAACGCGATTATTGTTTGGTTTCGAGCCAAACAAGTGAGTGTCCGACCGAGCATGAACCGCAGCAAAGCCCACAGCTTGGTCGTACAAGAACGAAGCATGTGCACGGACCCGTGTCAAAGAGGCAGACGCTGTGACCTAAAGTCATGTGGCACATGCAAGTGTTTGCAAATCTGCGCCACTCACTCAGCACCTACTCGAGATCTCCTTTCTCCAACAATCACATCGTTCAACACCTCTCCTGTTTAAGTGTTTACGAGGTTGTCACCAACGTAAGAACGCAAAACGCAAGAACTCACCACCACCACCACCACCACCACAAGGTTTTCTGAACAACAGCAACAACAACAACAACAACTTAAACAACAACAACTTAAACAACAACAACTTAAACAACAACAACTTAAACAACAGCAACTGAAACAACTTAAACAACAACAACAACAACAACAACTTAAACAACAACAACTTAAACAACAACAACTTAAACAACTTAAACAACAACAACAACAACAACACAACAACACCACCACCACCACCACCACCACCACCATGCAAAGACTTCAGAAAAGGGGCAGGCAAAGTTGCTGTTGGAGGTGTCTACTTGGAGGAGGTGCCACTGTTGGCACGTGCTGTGCCGAGGTGGCACTTGTTGGCCTGTCAACAACATTGTGGATTGACGATTGAGGAGGGAGGGGAGGGAGGGGGGGAGAGAGGAGAATCGTGAATGCATCACATCAGCCAGACGGCAAATTCGTACCAGCAGCAAAATCGCACACTCGTACCACCAGCTTGCCAAGAGAAGCACACGTTGTCCCTCAGTTTATGTTACCTCTGCAGCGAAGCGAAGGCTGTTCTTTGTCTCGCTGGCGGACGCGGCTGTGGGCGCCACGTTCACAAACATCAGGCTGCATTGCAAAGAAGCCAGTTCCAGAGGACACAGGGTGAGTGAACAATGGCGTGACGGCAATAGCGCGCGCACACACAAGAAGAAGCAAACATCCACAAGCATGCACACACACACACACAGACACACACACACACACACACAACACACACACCCACACCCACACACACACACACACACACACACACACACACACACACACACACACACACACACACACCACTTGCTGTTGTTGCACATGGAGTCCTTGAGGAGCATGGTCAGCTTGGAGTCACGGAAGGGCACATGCCCATCCTAGTGGTGGGTGGAAAGCATTCAGGAGTCAAGATGTATCACACAGGTGAGCGATTGCCAACCGCAACCACAAAATGCATTGCACTCACTCGCCCTCCTCAATCCCCGATTCTCCCATATTTCCCATCTTCCGCCCTTTCCCATCTCGTCCCACCCCTCACTCTCATGGATACCTTCTGGGAGAGCTTTGTGAAGACGCGCTTGAGGGTGGTCAGGCTCTTGTTGATGTACTTGGCCTCTTTCTCCTCCTTTCCTTGCACCTTGGAGACCTTGATGCGCTCGGAGCCAGCCAGGTCAATGAGGTTGAGCGTGGCGTTGCACACCTCGCCCGCGGCCTTGTTCTCACCCGCAATCTGCAGGCGGAAGACGGAGTGGCTGCGGGACGAGCGTGCGTTCATCGCCGTCTTGGCCGTCCTCCTGTTGGTCTCTGCACGCTGAAGCAGCTCGTGCACCTGAAAGAGAGTGGAGGGGAGGGAGTAGGAGAGGGGCAAAGACAACGGCGCTTGCTTGTGAGTTGGTGTGCGTCAAGGAGCAGTGAGACGACGTACCACGGGCACTAACAGAGACGTACCACGGGCACTAACAGAGACGTACCACGGGCACTAACAGAGACGTACCACGGGCACTGACAGAGACGTACCACGGACACTGACAGAGACGTACCACGGACACTGACAGAGACGTACCACGGACACTGGCACAAGACGCAGAACGCTCCTACACACAGACATACAGACACACACGCACGCACACGCACACAACATCAAACAAACGCATGCACAGGCACACAATCACCCCCCACACACACACCAATTCCCAACACTACACCCCAAACTCCAGCCGCTCACGTCATCTGGAACGGTGACGGCAAACTCAGAGAGGTTTGAGACGGGCGCTGTCCAGGAGATGACTGGCTTGGTGGCGGATCCCGGCGTGGCAAGCAGGTCACGTGGCTCCTCGTTGTAAATCTCCAGCATGGAGGCCTTGAACGTGTACTCCCACCCCTTGGCAGCAAGCTCCGCTTGGCGCTGGAAAAGCTGCAGACACAGTCGTCCGTGTGAGTGTGTGCGTGCGAGTGAGTGTGTGCGTGCGAGTGAGTGTGTGCGTGCTAGTGTGTGTGAGATGTGAGGAAAACCGAGTGGAGCAGATTGATGCGTCGCGGTAGAATGGAAGCAAATGTGCACATGAGAACATACGTATCCGCACACACACACATAACTGCAATGTGATGCACCTGTTCAACAGCGCGTGGGATCATGCCACGTGATCCCTCGTCATCGCCGCCAAGCATGGTGTATGTCTTGCCGCTTCCAGTCTGCGATCAAGTGAGTGTGTGACCATATGCCCGTCAGTCACGAGAACAACAGCAACAGCACACACTCACTCACTCCCCCCAATGCACACACACACAGACAGACAGACAGACAGACACACACACACACACACAACCCCCCTCCACACACACCCCACACACACACACACACTCCACACCCATGAGAAACAAACCTGGCCGTAAGCAAACACGCAGACGTTGTAGCCGTCCATGGAGGACTGCACAAGCTGCTCAATCTCCTCAAACACTTGCGCTTGTGTGCTGTCGCGGTCAAACACCTGCCAGGAACAAAGGACCATTGCGGAAGGATGAACAGTGAGCTTGATTGATGAAAATACGTTGGCACTGCATGCACAGCTGGCAAGGGTATTGGTCTGTTCCACGGCGTTGTGGATGATCGCGCCCTTGTACACGTGCATGTGGCGCTGATGCCCACCTTGTCGAAAGCAAACGTCGCCGTCGGCCCTGTGGCGCCAGTCACGGACACCTCCTGCAAGGCAAAAAGCAAACACACGGGAATGTGGTGTGAGCCCCGCACTCACGTCACGTCATGTCTCGTCATTCTGCATGTGCGGCACGCTTGTCCACAACTTGACGTCAATCGCACAGAGGGCAAAGGCGCGCATGTCATGACACAGCAGCCTGGCATCATCAGCATCAGCATCGCACCTTGCCGTCGAGGCAAGCGACTGGCTGTTCATCCGCTGATGCGTCCTCGCCAGAGAGAAAGGGGCGCACGCGACAAAACACGCGCACGTTGCCCTTGAGCTCTTGCACCATGTTGTGCAGGCGGCGCCTGTAAAACAAGTTGATGTGCCATGAGCCCACACACAGAACGAAAGGCATGACGAATCGATGCGAAGAGCTACAAGGAAACAGAAACAGCTACTGCTGCGCACCCACATACGACATGTTGCCACCATGGTTGCTCGCCACAGTGTCCCAAGTCACGCGTGCTTGCATTCATGTGCTGTTACCGCTCTGCTTCGTCGACAATTGCCTGCTGCTCGTGCTCCTTGACACACGCCTCCAGTGCAGCCACTTTGTCGTGCAGATCCTTGATCTCAGACGTCTGCTGCTCAATCGTCGATGTCGCCTGATGGTGCCAAGTGTGTGTGTGTATGTGTATGTGTGCACATGTGCATGGGTGCAAGCAAAACGTGTCGTATTGTGTGTGTGTGTGTGTGTGTGTATGCGTGTGTGTGTGTGTGTGTGTGTGTGTGTGTGTGTGTTAGCAAGCCCATGGTTTCCATCCACGTGCACATAGCTGCTTACCCACCACAACTCCATACTCGACACCACAGCTACCCATTCCACCACCGCGAGCCATGCACCAATACTGACGTGCGAGAGGTGGGAGCGGAGGCCATCCAGTTCCTGCAGGAGGGAGGACTGCTTGCCTTGAAGGTCGTCCACGGTCTCGCGCAGCTCTACAATGGCCGCCTTCCCAGTGAACGGAAGAGAGAAGAACGGAAGAAAGAACGACACCAGAGAAGAAGAAGAAGAAGAAGAAGAAGAAGAAGAAGAAGAAGAAGAAGAAGAAGAAGAAGAAGAAGAAGAAGAAGAAGAAGAAGAAGAAGAAGAAGAAGAAAGAGGAGGAGTAGGAGGAGTAGGATCATGACGTGTTGTGATTGTATGGTGTGGGTGTGTACGCCATGTTGGGGTGGAGGCGGAGGAAGAGAACGAAGAGCAGTGCGATGACGACATTGAAGAAGGCGAGTCAGGCAAAGGAGAGACAGAGGAAGAAGAACAAGGGGAGGAAGGGCAGCGTGTGTATGAAGGCGAATGCGATGGCAAGCACAATGATTTGAGCCAACGCCACCACAGTTCAACACCACGCGTCTGTGCGACACGTGTTGTTGTGCATGCATGGATTAACATGCGGCTGTGTGTGAACAGGTGTATGTGTGTACGTGTGTACATGCGTGTGCATGCGTGTTTGCGTGTACATGTCTTCATGCTCGCGTGTACATGTGCATGTGCTCATGTGTGTGGATTGTGCTCGTGCCGTTGTTGGCATGGCTTGGGTTGACAAGTTCGTAGCGGCAACGAAAAGAAGAAGATACAGTCTCAACATGCGTACCTGCTTCTGATCAACATCGGACTTGAGCTCAGTGCATGTTGTGGCGAGCTGCTCGTTCTCCGCCTTCAGTGTATCCTTTTCCTGCTCGAACGCTTGCCTGCATGGTCGAATAGGGTGTGATGATAACACAAGCCGTAAAAACGTGCGTGAGCAATCATGATCGAGCGAAAACATCGGCGCATGTGCGCCAACCTTGTCACATCACGCACATACGCGCACGAACATACATGACACACGATACACACACACGCACATGCGCGCACGAACATACCCCTTCACACGCACACACACACACACACACGAAAGAACAACAACATGAACGCACTTTTGGTGAGCAAACGCCTCGTCCTTGCGCGTGCACTCCTGCTCCAGCTCCTCAATCTTGAGGGCGGCCTTACTCTTTGGCTTGTCCGTGGTCTTGGCCGCCTTTGCACCCGCCCCACCAAAACGCGAAGTCGTTGTGGCAGAGCTTCGTGCCTAGTGGCGGGGACACAAAGCAACGAGCAAGGTTCTCAGCAAGGACGGATAAGCTGTGAATGGCCATGTTTCAATGCATGTTTCAATGCATGCGCGAGTGTGTAGGCGGCATTTCACCATGATTTGACTCCTCACTGCTGACTCACCGTTGCTGTACGCTTTGCGGTTGACTGGCGCAAGGTCGAGGCTCTGTTCAGACGCGAAGTCGTGTTGTTCACGGAGCTGCATGGGGTGAACCAGCGAACATTGAGTTAGAAGGCGCAAAGCATAGTTGTGATGATGAGTTGGTTGAACGATGAAATGCACAAACAGCAAACAGGGAACAGCGTCTGCGCAACACACAAAAACGACACCAAATGCCAAGAGGACATTCTTCCCTCCCCCTTCACACTCCATGCTCATGCGCAAAAGTGCATGTACGTGTGCGTGTGCGTGCGCGTGTAGTTTGTATCTGTGTGTATACATATGTATGTACGTATGTGTGTGTGTGTGTGTGTGTGTGTGTGTGTGTGTGTGTGTGTGTGTTGTACACCCATGTGTGCGATACCCGAGAGGCTTGCGTGTGGCTCCGGTCGCCGTTTTCTTCTTGTCTGCGGTCGACTTGCTTGCAGTTGTGGTGGCGCTGGTTGTCGAGGTGTTCCTCGCAGCCAGCGGCACGCGCTTTGTCGTGGGCTTGGTGCGGGGCAGCTTGCTGCCCGTGGTGGAGTTTCCCATGTCCTTGCTTCCCCCGCTCCGCGTGCGCGAGGTAAGCGTGCTTGTTCCTCCCCGCACGCTGTTGGCTCGTCCGATCGTCATCGTTGCTGTTGCTGTTGTGTTGTTCTGTTGCTTTTCAAATTTTGGCGGCAATGAAAATTGTGCTGACTCAGCAACGATAGGTTGCTTTGTTGGTTGTTGTGTTTGTTGCGCTGTCTGACTGAAGAGAAGCAAAATCGATTTGCACTGAGCTGGATCCACCACCACCCTTGCTTGCTTGCTTGATGTCATCTTGGAAGACGGCCACGATCGCAGACATGTCGAGCGGTGCTGTTTACGAGAACGCCGTTCTCATGCCCGGCACGGGCCTCTTCAAGAAGTGGAAGTTTGCCCATGCCGTCATGGATGGCACAGGTCTGCTTGATTTGTTTGGTTTTGTGTGTGTGTGTGTGTAGTGTGTGCAGTTGTGCGCGTGTGTGTGTTGTGTGTATCTGTGTGTGTTGTGCGTGTCTGTGTGTGGCTTGTTTGAAGTGTTTAGTGGGCTGCTCGCATGTAATTTATTGCAGTGTTGCGATTGCGATCGCAGTGTGCATGTGTGCTCATGCCTTCAACTGCAATGCTGCCACCACATCAAAAGGCACCATCAAGATTTACAAGACCCCCAGAGACAAGTCTCCCATGATCATGATGAAGGCCACAAACATCGTCACCGGCGCTGATGCCACCCGTGAGTACGAGGGTGTGTGAGCGTGTATGTGTGCGTGATCTCGCGTGCTCGTTTGACGATTCCAATCACGTGTGTCGTGTCTTCAGATTGGCACAGCAATGCATGTGTGCGTGCGTGCTATAATGTGCGTGTGCGTGTGCGTGTGTGTGCTTGTGCGTGCGTGTGCGTGCATACATGCTTTGTGTGTGCTCTCGTGTTTGTTGCACTGCTTTGATGAGTGTGTTCTCACACGTGTGAGATGCGTGCACTGCCAGCGCTCGGCAAGTGGTCCAAGAAGTTCCCCGAGACGACCCGCATCGTGGTCACCGATTCCGGCGGCCGCAAGCTCTGCTTTTGCAGCGCCGAGGAACCGCAAGCTGAAGAATGGAAGAACGCCTTTACCCGTACGTCGTCGCAAACATTTGCTTGACGCAACGTGATGTGGTGTGATGTGGTGCTGTGACGTTTGCTCGCTCTTGCACATGTACGCACACGCAGGTGTGTGTTTGTGTGTTTGTGTGTTTGTGTGTTTGTGTGTGTGTGTGTGTGTGTGTGTGTGTGTGTGTGTGTGTGTGCGTGTGTTTTTTTCAGCGTCTCCACCAATGGTGCACACGTTCATGTGTAGCGTGATTTTTTTCATTTTCACATGCACCAGGTGCCAAGAACGGCGATGCTGCTGCACCTTCCTCCTCCAGCTCGCAGCCAACACCAGCCGCCAAGCCAGCCCCTGCGCAGCAGCAGGCACCACCACCTGTAACAACGGCAGAAACCACGAAGCCTGAGCCAACGCCAGCACCCTCCAAGCCAACTCCTGCCCCGCGCAAAGCTGCACCCGCTGCCACCACCACCACCACCACCGCCGCGGCTGCCACGACGCAGGAGGAGGAGAAGCCTGCGCCTGCCAAGGCACCAGAAGCAGCCAAGCCAAAGCCAACCCCTGCGCCAAGGGCTGCGCCAACGAAGGAAGCACCGCCAGCAGCTGCGAAGAAACCAGCACCCTCCCCACCAAAGAGAACCAAGCCATCCCCAGCACCACCATCGACGTCGTCCACTACGACTGCTGCTGCCGCTGCTGTTGAGGAGCCGCCCGCTGTTGAGCCGTTCCCTGATTACTCGCAGTCGAAGCTGATTGAGAAGATGGAGGGCGTGACGCCCAAGACGCGCCTGCAGGGTGAGATGACCACCATCCGCCTCTTCATCTCCTCCACTTTTGTCGACACGCACGGCGAGCGTGACGTCCTCATCCGCAAGGTGCGCTCGTGTGCGTGTGTTTGGGAGGGAGGAGGGGACAATGTGTGTCAGTGGTTCGTGTGTGTGAGTGAGTGAGTGAGTTGAGTTGAGTGAGTGAGTGAGTGAGTGAGTGAGTGAGTGTGTGAGTGAGTGTGTGTGTGTGTGTGTGGTTTTGTTCGCCGTGCATTGAAGCAACTTTTCGCTTTTGTGTGACCTCGTACATGCTTATGTCAAGCTGCTCATTCGAAATACACTCACACGCGCGCACGAACACGCACACACACTACCAGGTTCTGCCTGCGTTGAACAAGGAGCTTGCGTCACGCTATGTGCAGATTGTGCCTGTCGATTTGCGTTGGGGTGTGTCTGCTGAAGAGTCCACAGCTGACGCCATCCAAAAGACCTGCCTCAACGAAATCGATCGCTGCCGCGTGCACGAGGACGAAATGCCCTGGTTCCTCGGCCTGCGGTGAGCACGGTCGTATTGCGTGTTGGTGTGTCTTTCTTGTGTTACCGTGTGTGAGTGTCATGTCATTGTGTTGGTGGTGACGTGTTTGTTGTTGACGTGATGGTGTTGATGTAGTTGTTGTCGTGATTGGGTACTTGCGCATGGTTGCACCTCCGTTTGAGTCTCTGTGCTCAAGCTGTTCTTTGACCATCAAACTTCTTGGTCAGCCCCAATCACACACACACACACACACACACTCACACACACGCACACGCACACACACACACACACACACACACACACACACACACACACACACACACACACACGCACACACACACGCATTCTCTCACACCCGTCCCTCCGCCTGGCCTCCTCCCAATGCACGCGCGCTGCTGCAGCTCCAAGCGCTATGGTTGGGTGCAGGAGAAATTCAACGATCCGGACGACTTTGAGCACCCCGATCGCTTTGCGTGGATGCCCAAGGTGCAGCAGGCGCACCCTGCAGGCGTGTCCATCACGTCCATGGAGGTGTGGCACGCCGTGCTGGGCCAGGAGGCGGCGACTATGGAGCAGCCACACGCCTTCTTCGCCTTCCGCGACCACGAGTTTATGAAGGGTGAGGACCGCGTGTCGCGTGCATGTATCGTGTGTGCATGTGTGTATGTTTGTGTGTGTGTGTTTGTGTGGGTGTGTTTGCGTATGCAGGTGTGCATGCAGCGTATGTTTGCATGTGTTTATGTGTGCGTGTGTGTTTGTGAGTACGTGTGTTTGTGTGTGTGTGTGTTTGTGTGTGTGTGTGTGTGTGTGTGTGTGTGTGTGTGTGTGTGTGTGTGTGTGTGTGTGTGTGTGGCACAAGCTTGGCTGCATGTGCACATCCACGTGTTTGTTTGTCGCATGACCACGACCATGAACACGAACAGCGTACACGAGCATGCAGGAGCAGCACCCGCCCTCGTGCTTCATGCTGCTCCCCCCTCTCGCCTCCCTTCACCCTGCCACCCCCCTTTCGACGCCACATGTGACTGCCAATGCATGACAGCGGTGGACGAGGACTGGCAGTGGATCTTCGACTTTGAGTATCTGCCGGAGAACGCGCAGGTGAAGGAGTCACTCGCCCCGCAGTACACCAAGACACCGCTCTACTCCCAATACAAGACCGATCTCGACACCATCACCAGCCAGATCCGCAGTGCCACCAAGAAGGCCAAGTCGTTTGACTACCAGCCCGGCCAGCCCATCGTGGTGAAGGAGACGGGTCGTCTGCCCACGGGGAAGCGCTTTGGCACCGGCTCTGTTGGCGGTCTTGACTTCTTCGCAGAGAAGGTGTACATCTGTTTGCACACGTGCATATTCGTGTGTGTGTGCACTTGTGTACGTGTATGTATGACTGATGCAAGTGGCTTTTGTGCCGTGATGGCTTGCGTCATCGGCCATCCTTTTTGTTCTTCATCCCATTCTCATCCCATTCTCACCCGTCCAACCACCTACACCACCCCACCTCACACACAACATCCCATCCTCCCACACCACCACTAGGTGTACGCCATGCTGTTCTCTGCGATTGATGCGGAGTACCCCTCCTTTGAGACGGAGCTGCCTGCCCTGGAGCTGTCTGCTGTGCAGCACGAGCTCATGGTGCGCTCGCGCCGCGAAGGGTTTGTTGCCCGCGACGCCGACCTCAAGTACATTGAGGACTACGTGTTGAAGGCCAACCCCGACAACAAGGGCCTGCTCATCACGGGCCCTGCTGGCGTGGGCAAGTCGTCGCTTGTTGCCAAGGCCGCGGAGCAGCTGAACGCCAGGGACAACGTGGATGTTGTGTCGTTCTTCGTCGGCACCAACCCGGAGTCGTTTGATCTCCTCGAAATGCTCATCTTCCTCATCCACCAGCTCGACAAGGTGCGTGCCCATGTGTGTGTGTGTGTGCGCGCGCGGGCGTGCTGTGCGTGTTTGCGTCTGTGCGTGCGTGCGTGTGCATGCGTGCTTGTGTGCCATTGTAATTGCGGGATTTCGTGTTGATTCATAGTTTTGTGCATCTTGAATCGCCATCCACTCAATCAACCCCCCGCCTTTTTTTGTTTTGCACCGCCACCACCACCACCACCACCACCACCACCACCAATCAACAGCTGCGCGCGGTTCCGTTCTATTTTGAGAAGAACAAACTGCAGAGCATCTCCTACGCCCGCTCCATCTTCCTCAAGATGCTCACGTTCGTTTCCTTGGTGTTGTCAGCACAATCATATCCGCTCACACACGTGACACACATGTTTACACACACACGCACCCCACCCCACACGAACACACACACACACACACACACACACACACAAATCAACCTCACCCGGCACATGACCACTCTTTTTCTTCCACCCCCCCCCCCCTGTTGTATCACCAACAGTATGCTGGCGGACAAGGATGCACCCAACAACCGCGTGGTGGTGATCCTGGACGGCCTGAGCCAGATCAACACGGAGTATGGCGCGCGCGACGTGAAGTGGCTGCCGGCGCAGCTGCCGGACAATGTCCGCCTTATTGTGACGACATCGAGTGATGGAGACGTGCACGACAACTATGTGGCCAACTGCGAGCCGCTGCAGTACGAGCTTGGACTGCTGGCAGAGGAGGAGGCCAAGACGCTCGTGCGCACGTTCCTGGACACGTACCACAAGAAGCTGTGCGAGGACGCATCCAACAGGCTGCTGGGCGACCAGATGAAGATGCTGATGGAGAAGCAGGAGGCGCGTCTGCCTCTGTACCTGCTTGCTGCTGCTGCGGAGCTGGTCACGTTTGGTGTGTACGAGAAGGTGACGCCATACTTGCAAAGCATCCCCGACCACCTGCCGCAGCTGTTCAACTTTGTGCTGAGCAAGCTTGAGGACGACCACGGTGAGGAGCTCGTGCGTGCCACCATGTCGTACATCGCCCTCTCCACTGATGGCATCATGGAGGGTGAGCTGGTGGAGCTGATTGAGTCGTACCCGTACACGCAGCCGCGCAAGTCGACATTTGCACGTCTGTTTGTCAGCATCAAGCTGTATGTCACATCGGGCGGCAGCGGCCTCCTTCGCGTCTTCCACGAGCCCATTCGCAAGGTGCATATGTGTAGGAATGCACATGTGTGGTCGTGAGGTCGTGTGTTTGAGCGTGTGTGCAAATGTGGATGCGTTTGGATGTTTGTGGTGTGGTGATGTACCCATGTGCGTTTTCTCACGTCTCTCTCACCCACAACGCGCAACCACAACAACGCCAACAACGCCCCACCCCTCTCCCTCTCAGGTGATCGAGGAGCGCTATCTGTGCAATGCCGCCACCGTGCGTGCCCTCAACAGCCGCATGCTCGCCTACTACCGCGTCAAGGCCGATCCAGACGGCAACCAGACTTACAACTGCGGCGCCGCCAGGCCCCTCCTCGTCCTCCCACACTTTGAGCGGTGTGTGCGTGTGTAGGTTTCGTGTGTGTGTGTGTGTGCGTCTGTGTGTGTGCGTCTGTGTGTGTGTGTGTGTGTGTGTGTGTGTGTGTGTGTGTGTGTGTGTGTGTGTGTGTGTGTGTGTGTGTGGTTTTCATGGGTGTACTGCTTCCACCATTCCATTCCTCACCTGGCCCACCCCTTCTTCACCACATGTCCATGCCTTCCTCCTCATCTCCATCACCCACCCATCATCACCATCCTCGATGGTTTGTGCAGGGAGTGCAACGGCGATGCTGCTGTGGCCAAGCTGCTCACCACCCCGTGGTTCCTCAAGAACAAGTCCCACCACTGCGGCCTGAAGACGCTGCGCAAGGACTTCCGCACCTTGCCCAAGTCGGACGAGTTCACGCTCGTGCACGCCATCAACCGCACCCTCACCGTGTCCGCCACACACGTCTCCGCTGAGCCGTCCACCATCTGCTTCCACCTGGCCGGCCGCATGTACGGTCTCGATCTCCCCGGCGCCAAGCAGTTTGTCGAGGGATGCCGCGAGGTACGCATGCTGGCGGCAGTGGTGGTGGCAGTGATCGTGACAGTAGCGATGAAGGTGATGTTGTTTGCATGTGTCCTTGCACCGATTCGGGTCGTCTCGGCTGCCCCTGCTACTTGTTTGCTTGTTGCATGCATCCTTTCCTCATCGCTCATCGACTGCCATCATCGTCCGCGCTCGCGCGTGCGTGCGTGCGTGCGTGTGTTTGTGCCGTCAGGTGTGCGACGAGTATGCGCCTGTGACAACGGGTGGCCTCGTCACCCTCACTGCCACCATCCTCAACTCCTCGGAGGAAGAGGAGGAAGCGGACACGGACTCCGGCGCCGGTGGTGGCGTCACCTTCCGCAAGGGCCTCGTTGGCAGGTACGCAGTGCGTGCCTGGTCGATGACACGGCATAAACAATCATGCTGTTGCTGTTGCTGTTGCTGCCAAGGATGACTGCTGAGGGTGTTGCTTGTCGTGTTGTTTGTATTGTTGTTGTTGTTGTTGGTGGTGGTTGTTGTTTGTAATGGTTGTTGTTGTTGTTGGTTTTGTTCCTTTCATGCTCATGCTCGCGTCCTCATCCTCCTCCCCCCCCACACCCTCACCATCATCATGAAATGTTCGTGCATGTGTACCGCACACGTGCAGCGTGTCGTGTGGTGGCGGCATGCCTGCTGTGGCCATCAGCCCGCAGGCCAACGCCCTCTTCGCCGTGTGTCCAGGCAACAAGGTCTCGCCTGCTGGTGGTGCTAGTGTGACTGAAGCATGACGTGTGCGTGTGGTGTGTGTGTTTGTGCGTGGTTGTGGTGTGTGTGTGTGTGTGTGTTTGTGCGTGTGTGTTTGCGTTGTGGCGCACGCGTGCTTTTTTGTTACTCCTGTCGTCCACACTATTCCTGTCGTCCATACATCGCCTCACCCCAACACACACACACACACACACACACACACACACACACACACACACACACACACACACACACACACACTGGTGCAGATGTTCACGTACTCGCTGCCGGACCTCGATGTTGAGGTGGAGCAGACGATTTACGGCCATTACGGCGCCAGCCCCGTCTACACCCAGGATGGTCCGTTGACTTGGGCGAAGAAGAGGAAGAGGGGGAAGGGGGAGAGGAGGATGTGGCAAGCACGCGCTTGCTCTTTCTGCCTTGTTCTTGTTTGTTTGTTTGTGTGTGTTTTGTTTGTTTGGGATGACTGTTGAGTTTTGTTGGTCTTGTTGCTCGCGTACATGCGCATATTCCTCAACTCAACTCAACCCAGCACATAGCCCAACTCAACTCACACCGCCTCCCCTGCTGCATCATACTCAACAATCGCGCCAGGCAAGTACATGCTGACGTGTTCTGGACCCATCATGGAGGTTCCCGAATCGGTCATCAAGGTCTACGAATCCAACTCCGGAACATTCATCCGCGACC